GCTATAATAAATAGCTTTGAGTTGAAAGTTTTGATAAGCTATAATAAATAACTATGAGTTGAAAGTTTTGATAAGCTATAATAAATAGCTTTGAGTTGAAAGTTTTGATAAGCTATAATAAATAACTATGAGTTGAAAGCTTTGATAAGCTATAATAAATAGCTATGAGTTGAAAGCTTTGATAAGCTATAATAAATAGCTATGAGTTGAAAGCTTTCTATTTATTATAGCTTATCAAAGCTTTCAACTCATAGCTATTTATTATAGCTTATCAAAGCTTTCAACTCAAAGCTAATTATTATAGCTTATCAAAGCTTTCAACTCATAGCTATTTATTATAGCTTATCAAAGCTTTCAACTCATAGCTATTTATTATAGCTTATCAAAGCTTTCAACTCAAAGCTATTTATTATAGCTTATCAAAACTTTCAACTCATAGTTATTTATTATAGCTTATCAAAGCTTTCAACTCATAACTATTTATTATAGCTTATCGTTTAATAATAACCTGGACTGATAGAGAACGTTGATGGAAGTTTATTTGTTGTTGAATAATAACCTGGACCGATAGAGAACGTAGATGGAAGTGAAATTGTTGCTGAATATGAACCTGGACTGATAGAGAACGTTTATGGAAGTTCTATTATTGTTGATTAATAACATGGACTGATAGAAAACGTCCTTGAGTTTAAGATGAACATTTGTTACTTCGAATGTAACACGAGAATGCTTATTATTGCTTAAAGGATTTTTGGTCGATTTAGAATTAACTGGGAAGTTTTTTTTTTTAGAAATCTCTAAAAATGTCAATATTTACTATATTATATTACTCGGCATTAAGTCGACTGGTTTCGTTCATGTAAGTGATTATTTTGTCAACATGTTAGAAGCGATTTTGATTTAAGCCGTTTAATACGAGTGTTTTACTCTAGGTTTATTCACTGTTAATACTTACAGAAATCTTCCTCGAGCTATCTGGATTGGGATTCCTCTTGTCACTTTTTTCTACGTGCTGACTAACGTGGCATACTTTACTGTTGTCTCCCCCTCAGAGATGGTGGCTTCTCATGCTGTTGCTGTTGTACGTAACTAATAAATGTACAATTGGTGTTACGTCTATAATTCGATGACGATGTGTAAAATAATATAATTAGATAAAGACGTGTGAAATATTATAATTCGATGACGATGTATAAAATAATATAATTCGATAAAGACGTGTGAAATAATATAATTCGATAAAGACGTGTAAAATATTATAATTCGATGACGACGTGTGAAATATTATAATTCGATAAAGACGTGTGAAATATTGTAATTCGATAAAGACGTGTGAAATATTATAATTCGATGACGATGTGTAAAATAATATAATTCGATAAAGACGTGTGAAATATTATAATTCGATAAAGACGTGTGAAATAATATAATTCGATAAAGACGTGTAAAATATTATAATTCGATAAAGACGTGTGAAATATTATAATTCGATAAAGACGTGTGAAATATTATAATTCGATAAAGACGTGTAAAATATTGTAATTCGATAAAGACGTGTGAAATAATATTATTCGATAAAGACGTGTGACATATTATAATTCGATAAAGACGTGTAAAATATTATATACTGATAGATAGTCATATTTTAAGTTAGAGACCTACTGGACGTTATTTACTTTTACATCTGAAAGGTGAGAGTAAACAGATATTTCTACCTCAGCTGGTGATAACTTTATCATCAACGCTGTGTCCCTAGTTGAAACTTGAATTCAGTTGAGGGAGATTTTATTTAACATATACCGTGAAGAAGAGTAGGACTGTCTTTCAGAACACCAGTGATACCAGCTAAGAGGTGGGTTTGTGAACTCCAGAGGCGCTACCATTACTACAATGTTTATATGATACAAATCACAAGCGTAAATAAGGCGCTTCAAGATGTTTAGTGGACCCAGGACACAGGGGGCCCAAAACATAAAAGTCGATTTGGTTTTTGTAATAGGATTTATATTATAAAAGAAACACTGGAGGCTGAAAACAAGCACACAAGGCTTAGCGAAAAAGGAAAAACAAAAATATTGTATAAATACAAGACAGCAGTAATTCCCCGTCCCACAAAAAAATTATCGCCCTTTCAGCCGTGGGGGCATTATAAAGTGACGGTTAATCCCACTATTCGTTGCTAAACGAATATCCCAAGAGTTGGCGGTTGGTGGTGATGACTAGCTGCCTACTCCTGGTCTTTCACTGCTTAATAGCCTTCATGTAGCTTTGCTCGAAGTTAAACACAAACAAAGCTTTCAACTCAAAGGACAAGTAAACTTCCATTGGCGTTCTCTATCAGTCCAGGTTCATATTCAACAATAAGTAAACTTCCATCAACGTTCTCTATCAGTCCAGGTTCATATGGAACAATTAATTT